ATAGAGGTAAAGGGTGTATAAGGCCCATTAAGATGGTTGGCAGGAAAGAAAAGGAAGGAGTTGCCTTGGTAGCTTGAGGTATAGGCAAAATTAGAAACATATTTCTGAAGATTGCCAAAAAGTCTGAGCAGCTTTTAAAGCTGAATTTTTTTTTTAAAAAAAGGAAATTTAAGGTGCAAGAGTATGATGAGAAAAGTGTCAGAGAATTGTAGAGACTGGTAGCAAGAATCCAATATATGAAGTCAAAACAGAATAAAAATAGGAGAAGTTCTGACTTCAGACAAGATACAAAAATGTAAATAAGTTTGTAGGATTAGCCTCTTATTCTTTGGAATGATTCATCAGTAATAAAGAATGCTTACAATGTTGAATTGACTTAACACTTTCATTTATGCTTTTATTAACTAAATTCTACTTAGGACATACTCAGTTTAAAGAGTAAAAATATTAATAGATTTGAAATTTTATAATGCTGTCATAAGGTTAGTCTTCCAAGATAAATAATCTTCCTGGATGTTATATGAAAACAATGAATCATGGATCACTACATCAAAAGCTAATGATGTATTGTATGGTGACTAAGATAACAAAATAAAATTAAATTAAATTTATAAAAAAGAAAAAAAAATCTTCCTGGAACCTTTGTAGTCATTTTTATCTCAACAATTCAAGGCTCTTATAAGATTTTACCAACTATCTCTTAAATGTACCTTTTTCCCCATTAATGTGATAAGACTTTAAAAATAGAGGAAAAATAGCTTCATTTCCATGAAAATTGCAAAACCAATTTCCTCATTACTTATGACCATTAAAAGTTTTCATTCTATTTCTTAAATTAATATTTCTCCCAATAAAAACACAGACTTTATTACACAGTGTAAATATCAGGAAAACAACCTAAGGCTGAACTCTACTTACTGCTATGTAAATTTATTAAGCCTTGGATAATTAACAGATGTTTTTTCTATATTCAGTGTTTATTATCCTGTAATCCTTGCTAAAATGAGTATTTTATATGCTATATAACCAAAAGGTAAAAATTCACTCAATTTATAGTCTAATTAAAATTCCTTATTAACGTTTTACCATTTTTATTTTTATTTTTTTTATTCTTATGTTAATCCCCATACATTACATCATTAGTTTTAGATGAAGTGTTCCATGATTCATTGTTTGTGCATAACACCCAGTGCTCCATGCAGAATGTGCCCTCCTCAGTACCCACCACCAGGCGAACCCATCCTCCCACCCCCCTCCCCTCTAGAACTCTGTTTGTTTTTCAGAGTCCATCGTCTCTCATGGTTCGTCTACCCCTCCGATTTCCCCCGCTTCATTCTTCCCCTCCCGCTACCTTCTTCTTCTTCTTTTTTTTTTTTCTTAACATATATTGCATTATTTGTTTCAGAGGCACAGATCTGTGATTCAACAGTCTTGCACAATTCACAGCGCTTACCAGAGTACATACCCTCCCCAGTGTCTATCACCCAGTCACTCCATCCCTCCCACCCACCCCCCACTCCACCAACACTCAGTTTGTTTCCTGCGATTAAGAATTCCTCATATCAGTGAGGTCATATGATACATGTCTTTCTCTGTTTGACTTATTTCACTCAACATAATACCCTCCAGTTCCATCCACGTCGTTGCAAATGGCAAGATCTCATTCCTTTTGATGGCTGCATAATATTCCATAACGTTTTACCATTTTTAAAAGAAAATGAGCATTTAGAAATCTAAATGGTTTAAGATTAGCATGTTTTTTCCATACAAGTTTTTGTACATGTTTGTTTCATAGGTAATGTATGTTTATAACCATAAATGGATTATAGAAAATATTTGTAAAGTCCCTATTTACTGGGCAATTTTACTTATTAACTCATTTACTCCTCACAACAACCATCTGAGGGAGAACCTGTTACTATTTTCATTTTATAGATGAAAAAGTAAGAAAAGAGGTTAATAATTTTCCCAAAGTCATACAGCTACTGGATGACAGAGGAAAGATTCAAACCCAGACTGTGTGGCTCCCAAATCTGCCACTGTGAACACTGTACTATCGTGTCTTCACTGGTTTTAATTATGGGTTGAATACCTGGCTTGGGTTAATCTCAAATGACACCAAAAACAATTCATTGAAAAATATATATCAAAATAACTAAACAATCTTGTCTATATAATTTCAAACAGAAGCTATTTGAATTGAGCAAAATTATTACAAATTCTGAAATTGTGTAGACAAGACCTTTTCTAGACACAAATAGACAATCACTCGAGGAAAGCTTCTCATATCAGTAAGCAACTATTCAGATTTGAATTCATATTCCTGCAAAGGTTGCATTAACTTCTTCAAGACCTAAGAGTTATCATTTCATATGTGAATATACTGGAGAAGTAATTTACCTTACCTCTCCTTATGAGCATTTGAACAAAGAATCTAATACTTAATATATTGTGTATCTATACCATATTAACCTCTTTCTGAGAAGAAGCTTATGAAATTCTCAAATACTATCAACTTTCAATAGCAGATTTTTTTCATGTACCCAAAGAAAGATCCCAGCTCACTGCCGCTTTGGTAACCATGGATCCAAAGCAAAGTACTCATGAATAGAAAGGTGAGTCTGTGGTATTCCTTGACTAGCCAGGACAGAGCTAAACTCTCTTTAAAAGGCCCTCCTGTACATATGGTTGGAGGGACATGAGCAACCAATTTTTCTATGGGTTCTCAGCCAAACAGACTTAACTTGAACCTCTATTAGTCTTGTAGATATGTTCTATTATTCAGTTTTCCAAGGGTTCTAAACAAAACCACTTCCTTGTAATCTTTACTCTGACTATTTAAGAAGCATACGAAGAGCTGTCATGTGTCACAAGCTCTAAACCATTTGATTGAATTTCTCAGGCCTTTTCTCCTTACCAGTTATAATCTAACATTGACAGCAGTACCGTAACTTCAACTAATAGTATTTAATATAGACAAAATTATTATTTTAATCCATAAACTACCTGTAGTAATTTTTTCTTTCTTTGGAGGAAAACATAATTTGCATCAAAGGGAAAACCTTTATATACTCCTTTTCTTTGTAGAGATGAGTCAGAAAAAGAGAAAAGGTGAGATTCAGGGCTAAAGGGATATTGTTTAATAAAGCATTTAACTAAATTTTTAGATATAAAAGAGAAGCCCAAAACTGATCTTGGAGACTAGGCCAGAGAACTCAGACTTAATCTGATGATAATTGATGAGGCTAGAGACAAAGTTAGCAAAAATGACTAAAATGCTCCTTTTAAGAATAGGAATGTCTTATATTCAGTTACACGTCCCCCACATGTGGTTTAAAAACATTTTTATTGCTCTAAAACTTCAAGGTTCACTCTGTATACCTGAAAACTTGATCTAGTGAGAATTTGTGAATGTGTGTGTGTGATTTAAGGAAAGGGATGGAGATCTTTCTGGGAGTGTCATGAAAAAGAAAAAGGAAAGCATATGATGTGAGATCTCAAAGTGATCCAGAAAGAAACCAATTTGCCAGTAAAGAAGAGCTTGCAGCCCAAGATGTCTAGGAAAAAGGCATACAGTCCCCTTTGGATTCAGCCACATTTCATTTGGATTTTGGAGGCCAGATCCCCCTGGCACTCATCTGAGTAAGCTCTTAAAGCTGTGTCTTAGCATTACTGTTTCACCTGCTACAAATTTGAACTATACAAACACCTGTGTACCCAATATCAGGATGACAAGCATATTTTATTTATATTCATCAATTCTGATTGACTATGTTCTTAAAAGAAAATCCATTAATATTATTTAAGAATAAAAAAATAAAGTCATGATAAATTTATTTTTAGATTTGCCCTTCTTCTAGCTTCTAATAGTACTTTTCTCTTTTGTATAGAGACTTAGAAATCAGAAACAAATGATCAGTGCCAAATTATATAATTTTAGTGATTTAATTATTTTTAGACAAATTAAACATGCTCATTCTCAAGCTTTGCCTTAATTCAATTTATGAACCATTAATTTAAAAATAAAGCTGAGGGGCACCTGGGTGGCTCAGTCTGTTAAGCATCTGCCTTCGGCTCAGGTCATGATCTCAGGGTTCTGCTCAGCAGAGTCTGCTTCTCCCTCTCCCTCTGCTCCTCCCCCTGTGCGCTCACTTGCACACACGCTCTCTCTCCCTCTCTCATAAATAATAAATAAAATCTTTTAAAAAAATTTTTAAAAAGAAAAATAAAGCTGAGAGTGATCTATACACCAATAATCCCATACCCTAATTTTATATCCCTTCCTTCTTTTCTTTTCAGAAATATTTATTAACTACATATCATGTGTCTGGAACATTATACACCAATGGAAAATAGATTCAGAGTGGGATGTAACTGTATATAATCAAGGGAAGGCTTACCCCTTTGGACCATCTGGACCTAAGTGACTCAAGCAAAGTGGACATCATACCCTCTACCCATCAATCTCATGTTACTTTCACTGCACTTATATTATCCTAGGTTTCTATAAAAATCTCTCTCAAAAGAGTAGATCAAGTGCCTGAAATTCTATCTTTTTCCCTCCTCTTTTCAAAAATTACGATGAAGACCTGACTGGTACATTTATATCTAGCCTTTTAGAATGAGTGCCCCTTTTATGGCATTGACTTCATAGGGATAGGATCAAATGTTCAAATTTTGTTCCTAAATCACTGAAATATTTTAGTTTATTCCTTTCCAATATCATTTCAAAACTGAACAATGACAACAGAATAATCCCTCTAAATGTTCATATGAAAGAGCCATTTAAAACTTTGGACTATATTCCTTCTAGACAAAGGACAAAAGTAAAATTCATTAATCCTGTTCTGTAGAACGCTGTCATTGGAAGTGCTACAATGAATTGCCATAGTGGCAGAGAAATATTCAAGACCAATTTCAAGATATAGTTGAATCATCTCTAAAACACTATTTGGGATATTTTCAGAGAACTGAATGTGTTTTCCTGTTCATCTAATTACCTGAGGTAAGCGCTTCCTTCGTGATCAGTCTGGTGAACACAATCCTGCCATATGAATGGGATGATTCTTATTCACAGGTCTCTGTTAAATCAGAAAAAAGCAGCCTCTTACAAATCCCCAATCACATATATTTTCCCTCCATCTGGAAATACATATCCTATACAAATGTCCTTTGCTTCTAGTCATTGTTAAAAGAAGTGACAAATCATTCTCCTTATGATTTATATGGCCTGGAAGAAACCATGATTAGGTTTCTTCCCTAGTTTAACTCATCAAGATTGATTTAAGTAAAAGTGCCTTTGCCAAAACTGAGGACTACAATGATCTCACAGAAAGAAAAAATATATAGTATTTTTATATATAGTATATATATATAGTAACAGTGATGGTAATTTTTTTTAAAGATTTTATTTATTTATTTGACAGAGAGAGACAGCGAGAAAGGGAATACAAGCAAGGGGAGTGGGAGAGAGAGAAGCAGGCTCCCCACCGAGCAGGGAGCCCAAAGCGGACTCGATCCCAGGACCCTGAGATCATGACCTGAGCCGAAGGCAGATGCTTAACGACTGAGCCACCCAGGCACCCCCAGTGATGATAATTTAAAAGAGAAATCTCCCTCTCGGATTTAGTGTTTTTATCTCTTATAAACACACATTTTAAAATGATCATTGTGACAGACAAAATAATGGCCCACGAAGATGTCCATATTCTAATCCCTAGAACCTATGAATATGTTACCTTACATGGCAAAAGCAACTTTGCAAATGTAATTAAATTAAAGACCTTGATATGGGAGATTATCCTGGATTATCTCAATGTAATCACAAAGGTTCTTGTAAGAGAGAGGCAGAAGGATATGTCACAGAAGGAGATGAAACAATAGCAGCAGAGCTTAGAGTGATGTGGGTCCATGCCAACGAATGCAGGCAGCCCCTAGACACCTCTAGACATTATAAAAGCAAGGACAAAGATTTTCCCTTAGAGCCTCTAGAAGGAATGTAGTCCTGCCAATCCATTTTAGACTTCTGATCTCTGGGAATATAAGAGTATAAATGGGTGCTCCTGTAAGCCACTAAATTTACAGTAATTTGTTACAGCAGCCATAGGAAGCTTATACAACCATATTCAGTATTTTAAAATAAAAGAATGAATTCTGCTGTCACACTTCTAGGAAAATATTATAGTTTAATATTTGTGACAAAATACCGAGAGGTATTATCTGGATAAACTGGTTTTACCTAACTTCATAAATGCTCAGACTATCTGTATCAGTCATATAAATAAAAGTTCGATCTGCACCATTTTCCTCCATTTTAAAAAAGAAATAATAGACGATTAAGACATTGTCCAGCCCTTAAAAGGGAAACTTTCCAATGGCCTATTCCTCTTTCCACCTCTAACAGTAATAAAATAAAGGGATTTCCTTTAAAATGAGGATAAAATTTCTTGCTCCATTGGGGAAAATATAAAAGCATTTGTATATTACCACTTACATCTTTAGAACAAGTATAAAAGTGTAAAAGCATTTCTTGAGCAGAGTAAATGCATAAATACATCTTGACAAAAGGAACTGAGATTATAAGTCCTTCAAAGAAACTTGCAGTCATTTCAGTGGCAGTAAAATATTGCATATCCTCTTAAAAACTGAGATAACAATGTTTGAAATATGTATGTGAAAGCCCTTTGAAAATGCATTGCATGAAAGGGATCACAAGAACAGACAGCATTCAATTCTGAAGTTTTGTCAATGAAAAAGAGAAGAGGTTTTAAAATTTTGAATGTATGGGGACATTTTTCAGGGCAGCAATGGAAAATGTTAGAATGCTGATGCATGTGAACAAGATGAGATAATTCATTGTCACTGGTAAGTGAAATAAAAGGTACTGTATGAAGAGAAGCAAAAGTGTATCTCTAAATGAGCAGTAACTCTAAAACTGCATAGTCAAATTGGTAATCAGGGACTGGATAGAAAATTAGTATTATTTTGAAGTCTTATTGCCTATTTTAAGTATATAAGTATACTAAACTTTTATAACTTTCTTTCTTTTGTAGTAGACTTACTGTTGTCCTACAGAGGAATGCCCTTATGTTTCTGCAAGACAATAACCTCTCTCTCTTTTAACTAAAGAAAGAGTTGATCCTTAAGATCCTTCTGGGATTGCTATTCTAAGGCACCAGTTAAGCAAAGAACATCTCAGTTGAACTACATTATCCTGGTCAAAAAAATATAGTTTGGGAGTTGTGAGTTCAAAACAGGCTTAGCTCGTGTGTTCTTTTTCAAGTATTTACCATGGAAAATGGCCCCTCCTTTTGTCCCTAGTGCTAACTAGAAGTAAATATAGAGATAATAAAGACATTTAGAGTAAATGTGGAATTTACATGGAAACCAATTTTAAAGAAAAGGAGAAAAAAATCCAAAACCTTAAATCAGCTTTATCACCATTAGATCAACTATTTGCAACCCTGACAGAATTATAAATCAATTACTTGGAATTCTCTCAATTTACCTCTGATGAGCATATGCATGTAAAATATAGGAGAGTCGACCAAGCTGCTAAAGATATTTGTTCACAAAGCATTTTTACTACATTATTTCAACTAATTCTCATAACCACCTTCTTAAATGTATATTACTAAACTTAAATAACCTGAACAAGAACCCAAAGAACCTAATTCAAAGTCATATATCCAGTAACTGTAATGATCTAGAGGGAAACCTTCAGGACCAGTTTTCAAATTTCAATTATTTATTCATTGTACTAGTAGGTTGTTTGTTTTAACATAACCAGTGTTGCCAAATTAAAATGCCAAAAATAACCATATAATCCCAAAGTTGCTAACCCTTACAGAAATATTGTGAGAAAAATTAAACAAAAAGCCTGAAAATGTATTGAATATTGCAGTGCCTAACGCAGTAGCCCAATTGTTAGATGGATACAAGGTCAGAAGTAGAAAATTAGATTGAATAATAATGACAGGTTGCTTTTTCATAGGTCACCTGAGAACAATGCTATATTCTAATATCATAAATAGTTCTGCAGTATAATAGCCATAAGCCTCATCCATGACATTGATAATGACATTGGAAAGTGATAAACAAAAAAAGTTTATTTTATGGAAGGACATATTCTATTAAGTTGGCTTTATACTCTTATTAATATTTCATCAGAAGGTAGGATGGATCAATCGTGGAAAATTTTGCTGTGGGCCAATGCCAAACCTGCCAGGTAATGTTTAGTGATCAGGGAGCTTCACAGAGGGAGTGGAAACTGTGACTGGGTTGAGAGAGAACTAGATCCTTTAAAAATACAGTTCCTTAATCTATTTTGTCTCTATTCATTGTCAGGATCAATAAAAATGAATGTCACAATCAGTTTGACTCAACTAGTTTTAAAATAAACACTCAATTCTAAAAATACTTACAGAAGAAGTCTGCCAGTTATAAAAGAGAAAAAGAGAAAGAGAAATTAAAAGGATCATTTGATAGAAAAGCATTGCAATAATTATCACAATGCATATCATTATCTTTTTTCATTACTAATCACTGTTCATTTTGGCTGGTTCACTTAACCGGCTATTTTCAATCACTAAATTTTTTCTAATTTAATTTAACTAAATGTAGTGATGTCAATTATAAGCAGTGAATCAGGGAGAAACTAATGATTATAGATAATGCAATTGTCCTGGTTAGTGGCTCTAGGAGAATGTGCTAAAGCTTTATGAAGAGGAAAGTACAAAGCCAAAAGGCAGTGAACATTAGTACAGTAATATCATTTCTTAATTCAAGTCTCATGTTTTAACATTGATTAAGTACCCAGAATGTACTAGCATCTGGTCAGACCATGTAAAATTTCACTGTTTTCACCAGTAAGGGCATTAAATAAGGGCCATAAAGTTCTAAGTTACAGATAGCTATGTTCCTGAGCTTTTATTTCTAAAAGTAAAAGTAGTTAAAAATGTCTGTTGGGTATGGTATTATGCTAATCACCATTAACATAAGGGCATAATTACCATTAGCATAAGAGTACTACAGTAGTTAAAATTCATGTAAGATATTACCAATTAATAAGGGGATATGGTATAGTATTAAGTTGAATTTTTCTGGTTAAAAAAAGAATTCAGGCACTGACCTTAGTCACCATAAAGATTCTCTATTCTTCCACTTCAATAACTTGCCTCAAATCTCAGTGTAATCACTGGATAAATGGGGGAATCCCTGCTCCCTGGCATTCCCCTAACGTTTTGTCAAAGGTAGAGGTGAAGTTAGCTAAGAGTCCTCTGAAAGTTAGGTTCATGCATATATGTTGGCCCCAGTAAAGGCCCCTTAGTTTAGGTCATTAATAATATCATGTTCTTTATATACACAGCTGCAGTTCTGATTATATATCAGCAGTGCATGCTCTCAGAATTGATTTTCTAGTAGAGGCAATAGATTTGTATTAACCCCAACTGTATTTTCTCTCCCAAGCAAGATAGCTGATCAGGGTTGGAAATGCAAATTGTGGTTCATATCAAGCCAGCAAATATGTTTTGACTCAAGTTCCAACTGAAATGTCTCAATTTTCAACCCAGTTGAAAAACGCTCCATAACTGATCATCATTGTCTGTCAGGAGCTCAGGAGAGGACAGTAATTGCAAATGCATAGCACAACTTATTTATCATTCCTACTGAGAACCTAAATTGTTAAGCTAATCTTATTTTTATATTGTTTTAATCAGTTGAACCTATCAGTAACTTCATGAAATAACCAACTACTGACAAAAGGGGTCTCTGTAAACATTGAAAAACTAACCAGGGAATTTTTGAGATGTTGATTTAACATTCCCCCTCAACCCCCCAAAAATCTAGGGATATAGGACCTTAATTTTTTCTTAGAAATACTAGGGGAGAAGAATAGTTAAATTTGATCCGAGTGAAAGAACAATCAAATTTGGCCCTAAAGGTTACTACTTCATTAACAATACTAGCATTACTAAATAAATCTTTACATCTGTCTGTATGTGTGTTTCTTCGAAGTTCAGATCATCACAAGGACCACACATCATGAAGTATTATAATTCCATCCTAGATAATGATTTAG